TTTTTATTAATCCGACCACGTGTTTTCCTTGACCCAAATGCAATATTCCCGAATGTATTTTAAAAGAGTGTCATTTCCAGAGTGTTCCATGTTTTATTGCGACATTTTCCAGTGCAAACAACTACTAACTGCACTTTTATATATATTTTTCCTTTAAATATATTTTATTACTAGTACATTCTGTTAGAAATAATGAAGGCATTTGATATCATTGACAACTGCTTTTTCAGCAAAAATGGAACTCGTAAATTTACTCAACTTGTTACTGCTCATTTGCAAAATTATTTTGTTAAAAAAATTCTAATTGTACACACAAGTACTCCGAAGTTGTTATTAAAAAGATGCACGAGTTTCTAATTCATGATATCTATGTGGTTTTTTGGGACCAGGTTTTCCTGCAATCTAATGGATTACCATGAGTACCCATTGCGCCCCTTTATAACCAGACTATTTTTTGAATTCATATGAAGCAGAATTTGTCCAAAATATACGTGAAGAGAAGTAAACACTTGTTGCGGCCTTCAACTCCAATTTAGATGTATCGACGACGTATTGTCAATTGACAATGTTATATCCATTCTTATGTCGATATGATTTATCCAAAAAGATACCATAGTGTCTGACACGTCTGTTTCATATTTAGATATTTTACTTGAAAGAGACGTTAGTGGGAATCAAACAACCGAGCTTCATGACAAACGAGATGACTTTAACTTTTCTATCGTCAAATTCCCTTTCTCATACAGTGATATACCTTCATCACCTGTATAATTTATAAGCCGTTTATATCTCTCAGTTGATTTGCTCTATGCATGAGCAATTTTTAAAACGAGGTAAGTTATTGACAAACAAGTTGATGAAACAAGAATATCAGCAGTCTCTTTTAAAGTCATCATTTGTAAGTTCTATGATCGATACAATGACCTTGTCAGCACATATATAATTTATCATTAGTGTCAAATACTGGCTGGTGTTTTTCATACTAATTGTTAGGCAATTATATACACACTGAATTGTGGACGGATCTCTTCCGTTAATTCTCGATCATGACAAGGAGAACACGGCGAGTGTGACCGGTCGGCAGGGGATGCTCACTCCTCCATGGCACCCGATCCCACCGCTGATGTTTTGCAGGTTCGTGTTTGCTCTGCTCCTATTTTATATTCTTTAATTGACTTTTGAGCTTGAATACTGTTCGTTTTCTCCATATATTCCATGTAAAATATAGTAACTTCAAAATATAGTACTTTTGTACTTCAACTTTTGGCTTTACTGTACATAAAGCATAGAGACTCCTTATACATATGTCTATTTAAAGAGGAATCAAAAGTTACACTTCATTTAAGGGTAATAGAAACATTCATGATAATCAGTTTCAACTCATTTATTAACATACCAGAAAAAGAATAACAACACTAAAATGCCATTTATCAATTATCTTTGTCATATATTCTAGTATTTGTCATTTTGGAATTGTCAGTATGTTTATGCCATTATGATTATCATGCAATATGACAGTCTGATATTAAGGGCAAAGTGACTTTTTGATTCTTTCATCATAGAGACTTGATAACTGGACATATTTATAGGAAGTCCCCGTCCTTCGTATACAGTAACGATCAAAGTCATATTAAGAGGTCAAAGGTCAAATAATGTGATAAATGTACAATGTACTGTTTCTTTTTTTTTCTTTTTATCGTTTTTTTAAATCATCAAAAAAATGTTCAATTTTCCACATTTTGTTTTGACAAATTTAATCTGCGCTATTTTTATTTTTCTGTTCTTTTTTAAATAAAAAAAATAATGCTATCAAGAGCCTAAAATGTTCAATAAATTTCCACATTTTTACATCAAATTGCAATTACTAGTATATATCAATATATTTTAAATCGTTTTGCAGCTATTTGATATATATTTTTCGATTGGATGTTTGATTTGAATCAATAATAATTTGCATATTTTTACCAATCGCATTGAATAAACAACAATTAAATGTGAACGGACAAAGCAAGTTTTATTTCCGATAATGATGATATTGATAGCTACATAGTACAACAACAGCAGAATAGCCTTACTAACTCCATTCTTTAAATTTTCTTATGCATGTTATAATTGCATTTAAAAAATTTGATATGCCGTACTGGGAAACAATCATTCAATGTGATTGACCAGTATTATCGGGGCATTATTGTTTTCCGAGTTTCATATGCAAATTAGTATTGATTTCATTGATCCAATCGATGAGTAAAATGATAACCAGCACACACAATTTTAGAACGCCCCATCAAACAAACTGTCATGCTGTTTGTAAAATGATAATAACAGATTAAATTTTACGTAATTCAAATTCTCTATTCGAATGTTTGATTTCAACTACGTACTGATTTTTTTTAAATTTTTCCGCATATAACATTAGTCCATCTTCAAAAATATTTTTGCTTGTCCTCTCCCGACTCAGGGTAAAATTATTGGATCGGTATGTAGGTGGGAAAATCTTTTTTTCCAAAAAAATTTAAAATATTTGTTGACTGAATAAGAGTGGAAAAAAAGAAAAAAATATCATGTCCTGGAATGTAAAAAAAAAAAAAAAAGAGTTGGTTGGGAGAGGGCAACCAAACCATTTTTTTTTTTGAAAGATTTCCTTACGAGAAATTTTATAAAATCGAAATATCACTTTCTAATAATAAAAATAATAAAATTCCTTTATTTTTATTTTATATATAAGATATATAAACTAAGATAATAAGATTTTTTTTTGATACACAAAGACCTAAAATGTCCTTTTAATTCTTCGTGATATGGGTTCTTGTTAATGAAAAATAAAAGGAAAGGGATCTTAAAGAAAAGGTAAAAAAAAAAAAAAAAGAGGGGAGAGGAAGTCAATGTGAAGTATATAAAGACAACAAACATTAGCTGAGCTAAAAAAAAAATACAAACAATAAAAATCTTTACACAGGGCATAAAACACGGACTCGTAGAAATTCCAGAACTGGGTGAGATTTCTCTCGTGAAATCTCTTCTAAAACACGCTATAGATAAAAGAATTTATTCAGAATTTCAATCAAAAGACATTTAGTGTCAAAAATTAATTAATTACTAGTATATAAATATATAAAGTGCGACTATGTATAATACGAATATAAACATTGATATAAACTACGGTATATATATGTACACATACTAAAAATGCAAGAACCCAGACCATGCAGAATTGAATGGACGTTTTAGGTCTTTGTTCATCAATGAGGTGAATGACATGGCAGACTTTTCGGGTCTTGAAAATTATGCATTTTTAAAATATTCAGTCTTCTAACTTCAGCGCAGTTCGAAGTCAATACTTTAAGGTAGTCCGATCCACAGGTTCATAAAATTAGCAGTTAAGTAATCGAAAATACTCACAAAAATATCTTTGAATTCACAAAGTAATGTAAATTTACCCACAGTATTTTTTTTTAAACAAAAGGTTAATCATATTTGTAGGGAAAATAGCAATCCCAATATTATTGTTCAATAGAAATATTCCAGCTATGCATTTTCTAATTCAATTTGATCCAAATATATTTAAAAACAATACATCCAGACATTTAGAGAAATTGTCGATTGATTTTTATACTTATTTGGTATTCTTGCTTATTTCCCATGTATTAATAATACATATTATTATATTTTATTCCATCTCAATGATTGGATGTAGAAAAAAATGTATTACCCACGGACCTCCAGGTGAATGCTTTCCACAAAAAAAAAAGCCTAGGAAAAAAGTTATACATGTATATAAAATTACTTTTGAACATTAAAAATATATATTTCCTGAGGGCTTGATATCCATCATGGACCCTACAATTTTTTTTTTAAAGCAAATTTTTTACTTCTTAAGTTTTTTAATTTACTTTAAAATCTAACCTTTTAAAAAAACGCATTAATTTTTTTTGGCAACTAAAATGTAATCCAAAAAAAAACATTTCAAATTGATACGACTGTAAGGTTTTTTACATTTTAATTCGACCATATACTTAATTAGATAAACGTAAATTGATATTTTATGGTTTTATTAAAAAATACTTATTCACATCATTTTTTTAAAAGATGAAAATAAATTTCACTGTCTTTATCATTAAGACTTTTCAACCCGTAACCAACTACATTCTCTGAAAAGTTATTAAAGGTAGTCCAATCAATAGTGGTAGGCTTTTGTTATCATTGCAGGACATCACGAAATGCTTCTAATTAAATATCATGCTAATAAGCATTGGTATTTAGGGCTCGCTTCAAGAAAATCTTACTTCTCTAAAACTGTATTTCTTTTCTTCCTTTTATGGGGTACAAATGTCAGCTTTTTATAAGACCTTTCCTGAGACTTCCACAAACCTCGAATCATAGAAATATGAATAAGATGAAAATACTTGCATGAAAAGTTTTCATTTTCAAGCCTCATATTGATGCTTTTTTAGATTAAATATTAATTTTTGGAGTTATCCTTCCTGGCTGAGGATCGTATATCCTTAAGATATGTCGAATCTAATAACTAGTAACTTTATCATCCGAAAAAAGCCTCCGTAATTATTTTTTAATTAAAAGGTTATCTGTCTTTCTAGCAGTCTCTCTATGTTAAATATAAACTTCCAAACCCTTAATTCTTACCAAACATTTAACAATACATCAACACTTTGAAAGATATTTCTTGCTTACCCTTAGGAATTACTTTTATTCCATTGATATTGGATGTAAATCGATACACATGGACCTCCTGCTTTCAACACTAAGCCTAGTAAACCTTATATATATACATTACTTTTGATCATTAAAACTTGTATTTTCCTCAGGGCTTTGGTGTTACATTCCATCATGGACAATACAACATTTTTTTTTAATTTCTCTTAAATTTTACTTTAAAATCCGTTTTAACAACGCAATTTTTTTTTAAATTGTTCCAAAAATCAACGTTCAATTTACACTGCCAGATTGTCTGACAAAGCCATATAGCTGTAGACAAACGTAAATTGATATTTTGTGGTTTTATTAAAAAATACTTATTCACATCATGTTTTAAAAAGATAAAAATAAATTCTTGGAAAAGCTTCCATCACTGTCTTTATCATTAAGACTTTTTTTCAACCCGTAACCAACGACATTCTCTGAAAAGTTATTAAAGGTAGTCCAATCTTTGGTAGTTTCAATCTGTTCCTGCACTTTCCAGAGAGAATAACACGTCTGTCCCTTCAAAGTTTCCTGTACAAGAGTCACAAGCACAAGATGTTATAATAGGCAATGTTTTCGATATAGCCTTGATGTATAAAGAGCGGGAAATCCCCTCACAGCATTTCCTACTGCATCCTGGTCCGAAATTCATACAAGTCCCATTGCGAATATCACCATAAAAATTTCCAGACTTTTTGTAGCAAAACAGGCAAGTCGGTGGATTTTCCCTCAAGAAACGCAAATAATTTTGATTGGTACAATCAAAAGTTCCATGTCCGTCTTGAAGAACATTTATAAGGTAATGATCAGTATTTGGAAGAATAAAATCCTGTGTCTTTGAGAGAGAAAGAAGGCAAGCAAAAGTCCAGAAGCCCATCCAGGCTCCATACATAGAGAGCTGATTCATTTCTCCGGGAAAACGTGTTGTCTCTGGTTTGTTGATAAGTATGACTGTTTTTCTCTTTTATACTCGCCTTCTCAAGGACGTTGGTGCTCTGAGCAGGAAAATGTCAGTTTCCCCATCCGGACTAACTCGTCTCGTTTAAAACCACTATTTGAGCATTAAAAAACTAAAATAATGAGAGGAAAAATGTAAGTTCACATCCCTTCTAACTCGTCTCAGTTAAAACTACTATTAGAACATTAAGAAACTAAAGAAAATGAGCATTTAGTGATATATCCCTAATTTTTTTTAAGAAAATAATCTTTCAGTATCACTAGTACTGTTGGCAAATCTTAAGTTTCTGATAATTTTTAATGAAACCTATCTATAATCGTTAAATATCTTAAATTTTATCTATGTTTTCAATCAACCTAAAATTGGGTCAGAGACAGAATCAAAATACATAACATCAGGCCGTCTACTTTTTACATCCATCTCGTACAACATTTATGCCAATTTGGCCATTAAGAAGCAAAATGATAAAAATTGATAAAATAGATAAGTATAAAAACAATAGTTACTTCTGTTCAAATGTAGACTCGACATATCCACGTGAAATAGAAATAAAAATGACCACAATGTCTGACACATTTGTTTCATATTTGGTTGTTTTTTTTTTAACTTTAGACAATAATGTCCAACTAACAACTAAACTGTATGACAAACGAGATGATTTCAGTTTCTCCATCGTCAAACTCCATATCAAGTGGAATATTACTACATACATAAGGAAAGTTTACGATGGATAATCTGAATTGATTTCGTTCGTCGCACAATTTTGTTGTTGGTTGCCCTTATCTTGTATTGTCAGAAAAGCATCTAAAAATAAACATGTGGTGTCTTTTATTATTTCAAGTTCATTTGGATATATCTAGTCGACATAAACAGTCAATGAAAATTACTTTTGTTAATTGATGATAAAACATCGCCAATCTATCTGAATGTCGTTTCGAAGTCAAAGTAATTTTACTGATGACAAATCTCAAGATGTGATCCGAGTTTCCTTTTTATTGAATAAGCAATCGTTTATGTGATGTTTTTTTTTTAAACTTTATCGTTAGAAATGTCTGCATGTACGTGTATAAAGTTAAGAAAAATATTTATATTACAGACCTTTGAAAAATTTGGTGATTTTTTAAGTTTCTAAAAGTATTTAAGAGTTTTTTAAGGATCTGCATCTGATTTACAGCACTTCTAGAAAATGCTGTAGCACAATATGTCTGAAGTAAGGGCTTGCTATAAAGCATTTGCTGGACCAAGCACCGTAAAAGTCCTTTGTTTTTATATACTTAATTTAACTAAATTGATTCCATCTACCTGCTCAATGCATAGGGCTTGCAGCCGGCGTGTTTGGTCCATATGCTTGTTCGTTAATAAAATCTAATAACTTTGTGTTCAATTTGTTATTTTTACTATCTTCCTCTCATTCCGTGTGGGGGTGGTTCTCTTTCTGAATTCCATCTCACCCTATTCTTCGTAAGTTTACACCTAAATATCGTCTCCTTATATAATGGGTGGTCACTCCTTCACCATGTGATGCACATATACATATGTCATGAACATTACATGAATGATATAAAATTCAAAATTCATCCTTGATAAAAGCGAATTGTCAACACGACTCAACCCCGTTTCGACAAAAAATCATGCCATTAAATTTTTGGCTATTTATTTCTAACCTAATTGTAGCGTCCCCATATTGACAATGAGAATACGGTCAGGCACATCCACATATACAGGAAAGTGTAAAGTGTAAACCTTTCCACTTATAGGGAAGGATGGGGCCATAATTTGAGAAATTGTATTTTTAAATCATTGTTCCTCTTTCAGGAAAGGAATCAGACGAGATCCCGAAGAATCAAAATCAATTTGAACTACCATATCTATATTGGATTCCGAAACTTCATAAAAAAAATCCTGACAAAGATATAAATCGGGTTCCAGTAGATGTTCTACCAGGCCTCTTTCTTTACTCCTCACTAAGATATTAACAATAGTGAAGGAGAAACTACAAGAGGTTTGTGCAACAATATATTCAAGAAGTGGTATAAATCAGATGTGGATACTTAAAAACTCCAAGGATCTTTTGGACAATTTGAAATCTCCAGATTTTACCAAAATCGACAGCTTAGAAACTTACGACTTTTCAACTTTATACACAACCATTCCCCACGATAAATTAAAGTCCAGACTTTTTTTATATCAGTGACAGCTGCTTTTTCAGCAAAAATAGAACTTGTAAATTTACTTACCTTGTCACTGGTAATTTGCAAAAACTATTTTGTTAAAAAACATTCTGTTTGTACACACAAGTACTCTGAAGTTGACATCAAAAAGATACTTGAGTTTCTGATTGACACTATCTATCTGGTTTTTGGAGACCAGGTCTTCAAACAATATATTGGAATTCTCTATTGGGTACCAATTGCGCCTCGTTATTAGCAGACCTATTTTTAAAATCCTATAAAGCAGAATTTGTCCAAAATTTTATACGTGAAAAGAAGAAAACTATGGCACGCCAAATTCACAAAAATGAACAAAACATAGTTTCACAGTCGATAAACTAGGTTTATCGGTTATAAACTATAGTTTATGGACTGTAAACTATAGTTAACAATGTTAATCTATATTTTACATCCGTAAACCATAGTTAACGCGATAATCAATTTTTCACAGTCGTAAACTATACTTAACACCGAAAACAATCATTTGCGATCGCAAAACATAGATTATCTGATAAATACAGTTTCACGATTTGTAAACTATGGTTTACAGAGTTTACAGACGTGAATCTATGTTTATCAACAAAATTTATTGTTAACGTTTTATTACAGACAAATAATCTTAGATTAGCATTCGTAAACTATAGTAAACAACCATTAAATTTAGTTTTACAGATGAAAACTATAGTTAACGAATTGTAAACTATAGTTTGCGGTTTGTAAACTATAGTTTACGGTCGATAAACCTAGTTTATCGACTGTGAAACTATATGGCACGCCAAATTCACAAAAATGAGATAAACATAGTTTCAAAGTCGATAAACTAGGTTTATCGGTTGTAAACTATAGTTTACGGACTGTAAACTATAGTTAACAACGTTAATCTATATTTTACATCCGTAAACCATAGTTAACGCGATAATCTATGTTTCACAACCGTAAACTATACTTAACACTGAAAAAATCATTTGCGATTGCAAAACATAGATTATCTGATAAATACAGTTTCACGATTTGTAAACTATAGTTTACAAACCGTTAACTATAGTTAACAATCTGATAAATATAGTTTCACGATTTGTGAAACTTTGATTAACAACTCTTAACTATAGTTTACGATTGTAAACTATAGTTTACAAACGTGAATCTATGTTTATCAACAAAATCTATTGTTAACGCTTATTACAGACAGATAAACTTAGATTATCATTCGTAAACTATAGTTAACAACCGTTAAATATAGTTTTACAGATGAAAACTATACTTATTGAATCGTTAACTATAGTTTACGGTTTGTAAACTATAGTTTACAATCGATAAACCTAGTTTATCAATTGTGAAACTAGGTTTATCTCATTTTTGTGAAATTGGCGTGCCATAAAACTATGTTTAGCTCATTTTTATGAATTTGGCGTGCCATACAAAACATTTGCTTAAGCCTTTAACTCAGCATTTAGATATTTGACGACGTATTGCCAATTAACAATGGTATGGTAATTTCCATTCTGATGTCGATACGATCTATCCCGGGGAGCTTGAGATAAAAGATACCACAGAGTCTGACAAATCTGTTTCATATTTGGAAATTTAACTTGAAAAAGTCGTTAATGGTAATCTAACAATCAAGCTCTATGATAAACGTGATGACTTTAACTTTTAAACCGTCAACTTCCCTTACTTATGCAGCAATATACCGGGTACCTTCATCACCTGCATTCGGAGTTTTTATATCTCAGTTGATTGGATACGCAAGCGTATGAACAATTTCTAAAACGAGGTAAATTACTGACAAACAAGTTGATTAAAAAAGAATTTCAGCAGTCTAATTAAAGTCATCATTTCGTAAGTTCTATGGTCGATACAATGATCTTGTCAGCAAATACAATTTATCATTTGAGTCAAATGCTGACTGACGTTTTTCATACTGATTGTTCGTCCATTATATATACACTGAATTGACGACGGATTTTTCCCCTATTTCCCGATCAGGACAAAGAACACACGGCGGGTGTGACCGGTCAACAGGGGATTCTCACTCCCCCATGGGACCTGGTCCCACCTCTGGTGTTTTGGAGGTCCGTGTTTGCTCTGCTCCTGTTTTGTATTGTTTTGTGGACTTTTGATCTTGACTGATGTTCGTTATCTCCATATGTTTCACCTTTATAATTGTTTTCTTACAGATATCACCATAAAATGAACAAAAACTGATTCAGTGATTTCAGAGGGCGAAGCATGTTACAATCTCTATCTCCAACTCAGCAACTCAAGTGGTATGCAAAATTATTTTAGTATTTAACATTTCATATATTTGAAACGCCAGGAGAGCTTTCATGGGTTTTTAAAATGGCCATAAAAATTGATGCATGTACACCGCAATAGTGTTGCATGGAAGAGGTTATATAAACTGAATTGCCTGAAAGTCTCTTTTTAAGTGTTTTGATATTTTACAAAAATATCAAAATTGATTTTAGAAAAGCCTGGAAACGTAAGATACATGTATTTCGAACAACACAGAGGCATAACTCAATTTTTTCATCAAACGAAGAAAATTCAAGCCTGGAAACGTGAAACATATGGAGATAACGAACAGTATCAAAGCTCAAAAGTCAATTAAACAATACAAAACAGCAGAAGAGCAAACACGGACCTCCAAAACATCAGAGGTGGGATCAGAAGAGCATATCTCCTGCCAAACGCTTTTCAAGCAGGGGTATGATAATGGACTGACAATCAGTATGAAAAACGTCATTCAGCATTTGATTCAATGATAAATTGTATTTGCTGTCGAGGTTATTGTATCGTCCATAGAACTTACCAAATGATGACTTTAAACGAGACTGCTGATATTCTTGTTTCATCAACTTGTTTGTCAATGATTTATTAATTTACCTCGTTTTCGATATTGTACATACGTTGAGCATAGTCTTGCGTATCGAATCAATTGAGAGATATAAACCCCGTATGAATGTGATATGAGAAAGGTATATTGCTACAGTAAGGAATTTGAAGACTGAAAAGTTTTAACTTAAAAAGTCATTCCGTTTATCATAAGGCTTTTTCTTAATTACCACTGACGTCTTTTCAAGTAAAATATCTAAAATGTCCAAATGTGATACAGATGTGTCAGAATCTGTGGTATCTTTTATCTCAAGTTCACTGGAATATTGATCATATCGACATAAGAATGGAAATAAAGAATACGTAGTCGATATATCTGAATATCGAGTTGAAGACCACAGGAAGTGTTTTCTTCCTTTCACTTTTTAAAATATTTCAGACAACGAGGCATAGCTCATTTTTTTCTTAGTCATACGTATGGTACGCCAAATTCACAAAAATGAGCTAAACATAGTTTCACAGTTGATAAACTAGGTTTATCGACTGTAAACTATAGTTTACAAACCGTGAACTATAGTTAACAATTCGTTAACTATAGTTTTCATCTTTAAAACTATATTTAACGGTTGTTATTTATTTTTTACGAATGCTAATCTAATAGATTTGTTGATAAACATATAGATTCACGTCTGTAAACT